ACCGGGACGTACCCATCGATGTGGCGAGGTAACGCTCGATGTAAAACTAGCCGGCAGTAAATGACCGGTCAGATACCGCAGACGTCACGCAGCGTGGCGCAGTCGCCTATAGTCGTCTCCATTGCGGCGCATTGTTCACCATGGAGAAGACGCGCGCATGCGTTTCCCCGTCATGCTTACACGGTGCTAGCAAGCAATCCTGACTTTTTACCTTGTCTCGTGCCTCGTGAGGGGGGACATTGCTCGATTCAGTTAAGCGCTGTGATTCGGCGCGATCGAAGAAAATCGACAAATCTGTCGACAACGCCCCGATGAGTTCAGTTTCCGAGGAAAAGATTTCCTTCCCCGATCGTGCGATCGGGAGGAATTGGGAACGACCGAGGGACAGACGCGATAAACGTATAAATGGATGACATTATCTGAAGTTCGTAGAAGCGATCCGAAGAGGGAAAGGAAAAGATAGGTTCGTTATCGAGACATGTTGCCTCACATCCACGTCAACGGGGGAAAATGAAGGGTGAAAAAATGATACCGTGAACTCTCGAACAAATCAGATTAGACTGGGAGAGGGCAACGGTGCAGAGGTCTTGCCAGATATCAAAAACCGGCTGCTTTCTCGAAGCCGAAACTCGAAGGTCAGGTCTCATAATCAGAAATTACGCAAAAGTAAGAGAACCGGTTACATGTGTACGTATGTACACTCTCTTTGAATTAAAATCTCTCCATCGATGTTAAAATTTGTGCGGCCACCGCATTGACTCGTTTTTTTTTTTTTTTTTTAAATATTTTTCGATCCGTCGATCAAACGAGGAAAGAAAAACAATGTTAAGTAATCATTAATACATTCAACGAGGCCATGTCAATCGTCGCCGTGCACCGGTTTCTCATCGTTTCACTGACCTGTCTGGCCGCGGTCAAAAGTAGCCATTTGCAAGTCGTGGCCCTGGGCAATTACCAATTACGTACGGTGACACGACAACACGAAGGCCGAATCTACGGTGGTGTCCGGTCGCACGGTACCATCTTCTTGATCCATTAAGCCAACCCGATCAGGAAACGGCGTATAGCTCTCGTAAGAGATCGGTTACGCGGTCGACGTACTACGCTGAAGAATTCTCTCACCGGCCGCTCGTTCTCCCGCCAAGAAAATTCAACCGCGTCGATCGAAACAACGTTACAACCGATCACACGGTCTCTTACCAGTCCGATCGATTTTCCATCCACGGTCGCTACTATGTCACGAGTAAAAAACTCTGTTCGTTTCGCTTCAAATTTCGGCCAACTTGATCAATATATGTTTACTGAATCTGTAATTCGACATAGTTTAACATAAATAAATTCTCCTTTCAGGAATAATTTTTCACTACTCGGCTACCTTAAAAACAAGACTCGTACGCAAACAGAGCCTTGTGCGAAAACAGAGGCTCGCACTAACGCGTCCCGGCGATATTCAGTAATCAAGCTAAAACAAAGATCGCGAGAAGCTGTCACGAGCACGAAGGTTAAAACAACTTTGCGAGTGTGCTCGAAATGTCACTTCACATCGAACGCGTTGTAAGCATGACGTAGAAAAAATTAGAGAACGACGTGCGACAACACACTGGGCTACGGTGAATCGGTGGTTCGAATTGACGTGTAATCGAACGAAAAGGTGGTGGTCGGCTCAGCGTCGCTTGCACACGTGCACCACGTCTGCACTTGCGTGCACGTGTGTGCGGACAGAGCGGCGCGGTCGTTACGCGACTCTTTCCACGTCATGCTCTCCTATCATACGAGCCACGTACACGCGCGCCACTGCGGCGTTCGAACAACAGCCGGCTATCTCTGTGTGCGTGTGTGCTCTAGGTATCTATAAAACGACGTTAGGATGTCGCCATGTGGCGCAACGTATTTTCAGGTGGCAAACGACACAATTTTCCCCCTCCCCGGCCGAGACGGCAACAACGTGCATAGCTCGAGTCGAAATTATGCGAGTCGCGCCAAACTGTACGTAGATCCCTCTCTTACTCTCTCCCGGAATCACTATAGTTAGACCAGGCGGACATGGCACGTGATGGAACGACGTCTTCATTCGGCTATACCTGACGAGCCCTGAAAACCGACCGCTGGAAACCTAATCGCTAGCTACACGACCAGACAACCAAAATGACCCCACACTCGAGGAATTCGCGCGACGCGCCTGCACATTTTTCTGCGCGCGCACCGCTACCGCCGCCGCTGCGCGAACTCTTCTGCGCAGCGGCGCCGTCGAGCGCCACTTACGAAATTACATTGCCTAGGAAATGTGTTTAAAATCGTGAGGAATAAACTTGTACAAATTACAAAGTGTACGAAACGAACAGATTACAAATCGCACGTCGGATGAAAAAGTTAAAAGGGGACTATTGATGAATGTTTCTTATTAACTAAACGACGAGATGTTTATTAATTAAAAATGATGCTATTTATCCACTCCGTTCCTAGAACTTCTCAAATGACTTACCTACTTGTGTTATAGTATTTGTGGATGGCAAACTAACTTCTATAAGTAAACAGCAATCTTATTTACATTGTTCCATAACGGACACTGAGTTGTATTAATAATTAATGGGTCATTTGCAAATAAAATCAAGTTTCATCACCCATTGCAACTTTGTGCTTTTTCTAATGGTGTTACGAGATATGAGATTTCTACACGTCGTAAAATAAACCGACGAATAAATTATAATACGATTTATTTCTTCCACAGGGCATCACTACTCTCTGATTGTTGGACGACTTCATAATTTCGTTTACATACGATATCGTGGAGCTTGAATTATACGATTCACCGTGCGCAATCACGCGTTTGTCCCCCCGATGTTCTTTTCACTTCGATATTCGCTTTTCCTACGTTCTGTGTGGCACGAGACAAACAAGTGTTTGCGCGCTTAGATATGCGTGAAGTTACCGACACGGGTAGGAATAATGTTCGCTCTTCGGAACGAATACTAAATGCCCGTTAATGCGAATATTGCAAACGTGTACGTGTATTCCAACGCGAATGCTAAATATTCGTGATGTGAGCATTACACGTGTGAAATTGGCATAACGTGCCCAGGTTGAACCGACAAAGAGAACCTGATGTTTAAAAAAGCATAGAACATTATACTTCAGTGTGAGATTTTGTAGAATCAAAAACGAGCTGCGTATATGTATTTAATATATTTGACCAACTGTTACACTCTTCTTATTAAGAATATTAAACACGTTGAGAACTATCATCAGCTGTTCTAATTAGCTTCATGTAATTTAAGAAGCTCATTTAATATGTGAAATATCAAACTCATGTGCCTTTCTCTCGCTCTGTCTGTTTCTCAAGAAAGAAGAATTCATCCTTAACCATCGTATATTCCATGTGATAGATTTTCTAATGGTACTGCTGCAACGAGATTAACCATCGAGTCCCTTTTTCACCGATAACAATCATTTTCGCCACTGAAAGCGAACAAACGTCGCGCATACAGGCAATTAAATTACACTTACATTCCGTGACTAGTTGTACGCTGGCGCCGTAACCTTCGCCGCTATTAAACTAAAACGAACGGAATATCTCGTCTCGTAGCGAGACGATAGCATCTAAGGAAATACCGTTGCGTAAAATATTCACGAGGACCACAAGCGAGATCACGCACACGTGAAAGGAGGACTGTCCCTCTATCGACTGTTCGACACGCTTCATACATTGTAAATTCTCGAGAAATGGAGACACGCGTCCGTGTGACTGAAAAATCACGTTCTTACAGAACAAAAACATCTCTGTTCTGTCAGGATTATCTTGGCCTTCGCGACGCGAAAATTTGCTCGCGCCGCGGTAACGACAAAAGACGCGCGCGATACCGCTTCATTGTCCCTGGTACCTGCAACCAAGTGAAACGAGAAACAGCGAAACAATTCGTGCACACGAACGCGGGTCAAATTGTTTGCACAAACACGAAACAACCGTACACACGAGTAGTTCAAGTTTTCAAAAGAGGAGCCGAAGCGCGCGCTAGTCAGACTCGAAATTCTCACGGGTTTCTTTTTCTTCCTCTATCTCCGTCTTCCTTTTTTTTTTTTTTTTTCAAATATTTTTCCGTTCCCCACCGAAGAATAGAACAACGAAGAAAGAAAGAAAGAAAGAAAGAACCGCCGGTGTCGAGGCGAGGACGTTAGCGTAACGACCTCCGAACTCGCCCGGGGAACGAGTTTCTTTTCTCGATTGTGTCGTATTCACGGCTACCGTGTGCTGCCACGACGAATGACGAACAACCAAGGCGCATGATTAGCATACTCATGCGGGTACCCGAATTCGGCGAACTGCACTCTCGCCCGGGAGAGCCGTGCCGTCAATTGCACTCGATTAAGAGGATCCTTAGTCCGACCTTGCGCGCTCTGCCTCCGTTTAGGAGGGCACAAAAGAACCAGATGAATAAACTCGTTGATCCTTCGGCGGATGCGTAAGATAAAATGCATCCCGGGACCCGAGGACAAGCGATACATTTGTGTTACTTAGTTCCAAAAACGAAATGATCGTAACAGTTGCAAATAACAGTTGATTGCGAATCACGGACGTTAATTGTAGATCGACGATAAAGTATGCAACATTGTATAAAAAAGAGAAAAAAAAATGAAATAAAAATGTTTGCCTTATAAGAATACATGATGAATAATGTTAATTTTTTCAACTACACCGTGTATGAAAATACAAGATTAAAAAAACAAAACTCGTATTTTCTACATCGACAGAAGAAACACAATTAAACGTTACAATGTGTAAAAAGTGAAATGACAATTTGATCAACTGTACACGGTCTTTATATCCTAGATGCGCAGAACAAGAGCACGTGTAATTGAAAAGGAATGAATGACTCACCCGAATCAGTAGGTGACTCGCCAGAATCGGAGGGAGTCTGTACACCAAGGTGTTCCAAGTTCTGAACGATCGGCTGGTTCAAATGGTAACAATGATCACTGAGTGTGTTCCTAATATTCGTCACATGACACTGCGTTTGACTTTCCACTTTTCTTCTGCCACGTCGACCGGTCACTCGCTGGTTCCCGTTTACTGAAGCGACTTTCGTAGCCTCCTCTGACATGCATTCAGACAGTTTCTCGTGTATGTTGATCTGATCGTGTCTAAAGTAAGGACCTTCGTCCTCTGTCTCTGTGTCGGAGCTGGAGCTCGGTGTGTCCGGTCTAGTGGAGTCGCCATCACTGTCCAGATGATATTTCGCGCGGCAGAATTGTTGGGCCTGTTGATGATTGATGGGCAACGATGCCCCTAGATAGGCGGTGTTCGCTCGTGATATCAAAACACTTCGACCAGCCGGAACTTTCTTCTGTATTTGCGAGTCCTTCTTCGCAGGCAACGTCCTGTTGTGCTCTTTGCTAATGCACAAACCTGCCCACATGCAGTCGTGATGGCGTATCTTCTCTCGTGATTCCGTGCAGGTCATCCCACCATCCTGCACATCTGGCAATACACCGTCGTCGAAACTGTATTCGTAGTACATTTCGGAGTAGTGATCTAGCGGGAGGAAGTCCAGGTCGAATTTCTTCCATATGTCGTCGGACACCACTGTTGCGCTGTCCGGGGTCTCGTCTAACAGGCCCAGGTCAGGACAACCCCAAACTGGCACCGGCATTTCGCCTGAAAATGAATAAATCGTTGACAATTTAGTCTATTTGTCTTACATTTATTTCTCGTGAATATCGTACGTTTTATCGTAATTAGTTCGTAGAAGTAGATTCTGCCGAATTGTGCCGAGATGTGATCGAAGTGACTACGCGATGAAAGAAAATCGTCATTGAAGAAATTATCGCAGAATAAATTTCAATTGGAAATGAAATTTGAAACAAGATGTCGACTCTCTCATTGCGTGTTGTCTCATTCGTAATTGAATTTAATTATCTATAAACTTTTTATCTAGTCAGAATAAATAAGAAAACGAGGAAAAATTAATATGACAATCTATTTAAAAAAAAAAAAAAAAAAAAAAAAAACTGAAAAAGAATTCTCTGACTCAGTAGATTTTAGTTTCAAAAATATCGCTTCATTTTCAAGTAATCTCGATGGCCGAAAAACACGTTAGCTGACTCATCCTCATAGATTACTGCTTTTTATAACCATAATTCATAACTTACGTGTCCGTAACAATAAAGACTATTCAAATGAAGCCCTACAGTGATAAACAAATGAAACTGTCTAATGGTTTTTATACACCTACGTATCTCTGGTTCACGAGATGCAAAACATTTCACGACGATCGATAAGCTTCTGCACGTGGGAACGAAAAAGTAAAAAGAAACCGGTATGAGTCAAATTCGCTCGGACGAGGTGGTTAACCTTCGAATAAATCACAACCCGCTTCACGAAACATCCCTAGAGAACGCAAGTTTTTTCCCTCTCGGCACGAAGGAACCGTTACGCGCATCTTTCTCTAGCAGTTCAAGGTACGTTTCAACCACCAGGTGTGTTGCACCGTGACCCTCGAGATCTCGCGTGAAGCCTGAAGAATTAACTGTCCTAAGTCGCGATTCAGTTGTTACAACAGAGTGCAACGAGCAACCGCGAATTCGTAATGAGGGGAAAAAAGTTAATTCCCGCGACGTGACGCATCGTTTTGCATACGCCAAGACGCCGCTACAACAAGATTCGATCATCGCGCGAGTGATTGGAGCGAAGACGTTGATCGAGAAAGAGGGAGGCTCGAACACATGCACATCGAGATGTCAAACGCGACGCGATATGGGCGGCACGACTGACTCATAACAGTTCCAACGAAATTCGCCAACTACATATATCGGTTTCACGGATCTGTAACACCGACAGAGAAGAGCTCTGTTGTTTCTTCTTCTTTTTTTTTTCTTTTTTTATTGTCGGCGACCTAACTCAAGCATTACATCCGCTCGATTAGGCCCACCTCGACGATGACAGCTGAAAGTGCGCGGCCGTTATCTTCTTCGTCGTCGTCGTCGTCGTCGTCGTCGTTCCCGCGTCGACCACCCTCCGCGTGCCAATTAATCGATACGTAAACGACGATTGTCGCGGGAACTGTCACTTTCGCGAGGGGCGCGCGAAAAATGAAATTTCAACGAGAGGAAGGAAATGAAGAAGAAAAATTATACATTACTAGATATCAGGCAACTATAGTATTACAAATTTTTAAGATACTAAAATATTATTTTTTTTCCATTTGACATTTAAGTACTGCGAGTATTTAGCCTAGACAATTTTCTATCGCTTTTTTTTTTTGAAGAAGAAAAAGAAGGAAAAAAATCTTAGTTCAGAGGAAACACATTCGGATAGCATTACAAATATATCTTAGAATTTTACAATCTGACTACGTTGGCATCGCGTGACCAAACATTCTAACGATATCCACATAGTAGGATTAAAACCAAAAAAAAAAAAAAAAAAAAAAAA